ATAATTCTAAGCAAGAATCTTTTCCTCGTTTAAGTCATATCCTTTTCAAGCTCACAAACATGTGGAAACTCTTTTCCTGGTACTTGGCAAATAATGGGGTTATTGAAAGTAGATAACTGCTATACTGTATGGCCACAGTGGGCTCTGGGGACCCTACAGTGGTATGAACTATCTGTCCTCCAGGGAAGGGGACAGTAATATGGCAGCTCCCTGTACAGATCTCTGGACAGCTTCTCTGCCTTGGGCCAAAGCTAGTAGATCAAGGACCACATGAGGCAGATTTCCTCTTTCATGGAATAGACTCAACCTGTGTTGCCTCAAGCAACATTTAAAAGGCGAGAAGAGAAGTCTAACAATGCTGGAGTTGCTAGCAGGCGTCCTCAAACTCCGGCCCACCGGCCACATGCGAGTGATTTTGCCCATTTGTTTTTTTACTTCAAAATATGTGCAGTGTGCATAGGAATTTGTTCATAGTTTTTTTAAAACTATAGTCCGGACCTCCAACAGTCTGAGGGACAGTGAACTGGCCCCCTATTTAAAAAGTTTGAGAACCCCTGTGCTAGAGGTTCAGGGTTGTTTACTAAATTACTTGTTACGGTGCTCAATGAGGGAAGAAATACACCTGGCTTCCTGCTCGGAGGTGTCACTTGGCAATTATGGGGAGTGATCACTGTTGGTTTAGTTTTGTCCTGTGAACTACTCTCATTCATAGATAAGACTAATAGTAAATATCATTGTATCACTGTATCCTGTAGTATTTAATAAGGCATTGTTTTTTCCTTTCTCATTCCTAGTTAAGTAGGTCTTAGCTTTGGGGGGGCCAGGGACTGCTTTAAGAATTTGGTGATAGTCAGTGTGGTGGTACCTGCTTATAGTCCTAGCTACTCGAGAGCCTGAGGCAGGAAGGTCACTTGATCCCAGGAGTTCAAAGCTATAATGTGGTATGATTGCACCTGTGAATAGCTACTGCACCCTGGCCCAGGGAACAGACTGAGACCTCGTCTCTTTAGGGGGGAAAAAAAGTTTTGGTGAAAGCACTATCTAAAAATGCACACATTTACAAAATTTTGCTTATAATTTTAAGGTAGTCATGACCCTCCCCACCAGAAGCTGATCTGTGAGTTGTAGATTGGAGTAAATAATCTTGACTGTCCATAATCATTTTGTTTGTTATCCAAAGAAATACTATAATTTTTTTAACCTGTAGATGTTTCACAGAAAATGTGTTTAATGTTCTTCTGCATTGAGTAGACACAGTATGCTTTAAATCAGAACGCATGCACATTATGTTTCAGAAAATTTTTATCAAAGCTTAAATTTTGAGTAACAGTTGTCTAATGTTTACTTTTTTCCCCTTTTAAAGCTTGGCAAAATGAGGCTGACAATTCCATGCCGGGCCCTTACGTGTTCTCATCTGCAGTGTTTTGACGCAACTCTTTATATTCAGATGAATGAGAAAAAGCCAACCTGGGTTTGTCCTGTCTGTGATAAGAAGGCTCCATATGAACACCTTATTATTGATGGGTATGTCACTTTAAAGAGTTCCTTTGTACCTTGAAATAATGTGTCTTCTCTGGATTTGTTACTTACCAGGTTTGGGATAAAAATTCTATAGGTAGTGGTTTCTAAGTTACATATTTGTAGGATTTTTATGATTTTACATATCAGTATTTCAAAGTAATTAATTTCAAATTAATGTTATAAATATTTTTCCTTTTTAACTTGATATCCCTTTATTTTGAAAATGCATGCTTTACTGTCAGTGCCTCCTGACATTTGTCATTTAAATGGTTCTAAGCAAGGTATGCTTATACCTTTTCCTGACATGAGTCCATCTATCCCTAGATGTGTAGACCATATTGGAGAAGGAATTAAAGAACTGTGAAATTGTGATTAACTCAAGCTCATGAAAAATGGGCTTTTTAGTAGAAGTTAGCCTATTTCTGGAGATTAGATCAAGCTTCAGTCATGGTTCGCCATACTGCCTCTCCCACTGCAGAGGCTGCTAACTGATCAATTCGCGAACGGCACCTTCCTTTGTTTTTCTGTTTCTTCTAAAATAATTGTCTTCTTTCTTCTTTCCTCTTCCTTCTTCCTTCTTCCTCTTCTTTTTCCTCTTCCTCCTTCTCCTCTTCCTCCACTTCTTCTTCCTCTTCTTCCTCCTCCTTTCCTCTTCTTCCTTCCTTTCTTTCTTTCTTCTTCTTCTTCTTCTCTTTTTCACTTACAGCATCATCATAAGTAATTTTTTCTTAGCACTCCTATTTTTTATCTATCCTTCCAAACATCTTGGAATGTTCCTCTAAATTTTCCCTTATTCTGAAGCCTCCTTTTTTTTTTCTTTTTGCCACTGAACAAAAATAAACTGTGAGAAGGAGCATATCTACTTAATATTTCCTGTACTTTCCAGCAAAATAGTATTTGAAAAAACATAGGAGTCTGAAGGTGGTAATACAAGAAATGGAATATATTTAGCAATACAAGTATAACCTAGAGCTTGAAAGATGTCAGACCAGGCATGGGGAAAAAATAAACTTGGAACTTAAATGTTTATGTTTAATTTTTAGAAATGACATTGATCACTAATAAATCTGAATTGAATAGTACTGTTTTACCAGCTTTTCATGTTACATAGCTTTACAGAGAGTTCTCCCATTTCTTGTTATGAAACCCATAAACACAACCTTTTAAAGAAAATTAGAAGGCCAGGTGCAGTGGCTCACGCCTGTAATCCTAGCACTCTGGGAGGCCAAGGCAGGCAGATTGCTCAAGGTCAAGAGTTTGAAACCAGCCTGAGCAAGAGTGAGACCCCCGTCTCTACTAAAAATAGAAAGTAATTGACTGGCCAACTAAAAATATATAGAAAAAATTAGCCGGGCATGGTGGTGCATGCCTGTAGTCCCAGCTACTCGGAAGGCTGAGGCAGAAGGATTGCTTGAGCCCAGAAGTTTGAGGTTGCTGTGAGCCACGGCACTCTAGCCGGGCAACAAAGTGAGACTCTGTTTCGAAAAAAAAAAAGAAAAAGAAAATTGGAAAATAAAAAGCCTTTGTTGGTGTATAATTTTCTGGTTTTTGTTTTTACATAGTTGTTATTATACATTGTTAATAATTTTTATCATTTGGTTTCATTTAACATTATAACCTAAGGATTTGACCATCTTTTGTATTTGACCAATGAACAATTTTATGCATTCTTTTTAAACATTTTAAAATATTTGTATAATATTTTATCAAAGAGACTTAATATTTGTTTACATATTTTTATATGTTATTTCTGCTTCAGTTTATCAAATAAGACATTTACTGTAGGCAATTTGGGATATGCAAAAAAGTATAAGGAAGAAAAATAAATACCCATGAAGTTACCACACAGAAATAACTGCTATTTATATCCTATTCACACACACAATTTTATTTTTGAAATGCAGTTTTCTTTTGTTGGCCTTTTCTCACTTTTTGTGAACGTTTTCCCATGTTATTAAAAATATTTGAAAATGGGCCAGACATGGTGGCTCACACCTGTAATCCTAGCACTCTGGGAGGCTGAGACAGAAGATCATTTGAGCTCAGGAGTTCAAGACCAGCCTGAGCAAGAGTGAGACACCATCTCTACTAAAAAAATAGAAATAAATGAGCTGGACAACTAAAAATATATATAGAAAAAATTAGCCAGGCATGGTGGCACATGCCTATAATCCCAGCTACTCGTGAGGCTGAGGCAGAAGTATTGCTTGAGCCCAGGAGTTTGAGGCTGCTATGAACTAGGCTGATGCCACGGCTCTCTAGCCTGGGCAACAGAGTGAGACTCTGTCTCAGGAAAAAAAAAATTTACAAATGTAATTTTTTGTGATTATATATTTTCTTGCATAAATGTACCACAATTTAGGTAACTATTTTCCTGTTTAGCACTAGATTTTGAGAACAAATGTAACTTACTTCTACCTTTTTTCTCATTTATACTTCTATAAAACATAGAAGGTCTGAATGTTTTTTGAATAGTAATATTTTTTTTTTTTTTTTTTTTTTAGGCACGTGTTGATATACATAAAAAAGGCACTCTATTTCTAGATTTACTATTAGCATGCTAATTGTGCTTCAGCAAAATGAAATCTTTTGCTGAGAATCCCTGATGTGTCTATGGGAATAAGTTGTTGAGAGTACAGCTGGAGTACTACTTGTTTTACCCACCCCTAGAAAGTGTTAAGCTCTTTAAGGTGAGGACTATACTTAACTCATTTTATTGTCATCCATGCTTACCCAGGGTATTTTACACAAAGTAGATAATGGTGTTTTATGAAATGAACTGAAGCTAAAACAAGGTACATTATTACTGAAAATAAGACTAACGGAAAATATCAGGGGAAGTCTACAAAATAGAAAATACTGTGTACTACAACTGAAGTCATCTTTGACCTCCTTCTCTGCCAGCCTCACACACATTTGGAGGCAGGTTTAAATCACTGGGTCTCCCTCTGCTTTCTACATGAAACAGTCAACTTGGGGTTACTGTTACAGCACACATTTTCACAGTTTGAATAAGCAGTATCAGGATCACCTCAGAACTTATTATAAATACAAATTTTCTCAGTCCCTAACTCAGACATGGGGGATCAAAGTGTGCATTTTAATAAGCTCTCAAGTGATTCTGATATACATATATCACTGTACTAAGATTATCTTTTGATATGATGACTATCATATCCAAGTGACCTTTTGATGCATTACCCAATTCTCAAGAATACCACAACCTAGAAAAATTCAGCCTATCCTTTGATTGCTAGGTTAAATTTTATAATCAAACACAATCATTGTTACTAATATTTGGCAGGTCTTTAATCCCTATTTACCAAATTGACTTTCACAATGATTTTTTTTTTTAAGTTTCAGTGCTTACCCTTTATATTTAGTGGTGATGTAGGAGATAGGGAAGGACAAGTCCTCTTGGCAGATGGCTTTCCTCCTCTTCATCAGATGAACTATCTATGGTTAGGTCAATCACCTCTACTTTCTTGTTTTTATTTGAGGACTGGTGGTGAGAAGTCACCTGATGTTCCAATGTGGAGCTCAAGCATCCTGTGTGGGAATAATTAAAATTCAATGCAAAGAAGACCTACGATATCTTCTTCTTTTCTCAGGTGTCCTTATTAATTTATCAGTTTATATTGTAGACACAATATGTCGTGGGCTAGAGAGTGGAAAACCACGTGGCTTGTTCCACTAAGTTTAAACTACAATTTATTATCGACTGTTAAAGAGTTATTTAAAAAAACATTCTGAATTAGAGCAAATCAAATGAAGGTCTTATGTCTACTTCAGAATAAAAGCAATTTGAGAGCAGAGCAGAGACTGTGTATTATAAATGTTCATCTGTATAGTATCTGACATACTAAGAAATATTATGGCAACATTTTTAAAAACCTCATAGTCTCCTTCCAGCAAAAACATATTAAAGCCAGGAAAAAAATTAAATGAAAAGGAACATCCTCCTATACTGAATCTGTTAAAAATTTGAAAAGATATGGTTTCAATTGTGACTCTGCAAACGACTTGTTAAATTACATTACTTTGAAATCTTATATCAGAAAATTTTACAAAGCTGGAAAAAAGTGAGATTTAAAGGATTCTATTGCTTCTGAACATTTAATCAATAATTTAATAAGAATTATTAAGTTATCCAATAATCTGCTGTGCTTTTAAAGTATCTGCATCGTAATAGTGAAATCAAGGCTTACAGCAGCAAGGGAGACCGTCCCACCTTGTGAAACTACCACTCACCATCAACTCCATTGTAAGAGGCAGAAACTTCCTGTACTTCCTTTTTCTCTTGCTGCCCAAGAGCCATCCTCCTTAAATTGTATTTCGTCACAGTCTGTACAGTACTTTAGGATTTCCATAAACAAGCTATAAAAAAATTCACTCTTGGAATATCACATTTTAGATAAAAATAAATTAAAAATATTACTATTCAGGCCAGGCGCAGTGGCTCACGCCTGTAATCCTAGCTCTCTGGGAGGCCGAGGCGGGCGGATTGCTCAAGGTCAGGAGTTCGAAACCAGCCTGAGCAAGAGCGAGACCCGTCTCTACTATAAATAGAAGAATTAATGGAGGAACTGATATATATGTAAAAATTAGCCGGCATGGTGGCGCATGCTGTAGTCCAGCTACTCGGGAGGCTGAGGCAGAAGGATCGCTCGAGCCCAGGAGTTTGAGGTTGCTGTGAGCTAGGCTGATGCCACGGCACTCACTCTAGCCTGGGCAACAAAGTGAGACTCTGTCTCAAAAAAAAAAAAAAAAAAAAAA